GTAGGCAGAGGAGAAGGGGAAGGGAGGGAGGAGGGGGGAACAGGAATGAGGTGCAGCAGCCACGAGGATATATTTTTCTATCACCACAGAATGTTCTATTGGACATTATTTTCTTCAGCAGCCTTTTTTTGGGAGGGGGGCTTTTTGTTTGTTTGTTGTTTTTTGAGACAGGGTCTCTCCATGTAACAGCTCTGGCTGTCCTGCAACTCACTTTGTAGGCTAGGCTGGCCTCGAACTCACAGAGATTTTCCTGCCTCTGCCTCCCAAGGGCTGGCATTAAAGGCGTGCGCCACCACTGCCCGGCTCTCAGCAGCCCTCTTTACAACAGCCCAAACTATAAACTCATCTACTTGCCTATCAATAATGGAATGGTAAATTGTGGTATATCAAACACTCTAAAATAGTTTGAATGAACTGCTTGTCAACATGCTGCAATATGGATAAACCTTGCAAACAGACGTCAGGCACATAAGAATGCATACAGACAATTCTATCTAGGCCATGTTCTTCAATGTTCGAAACTACCCTTTAGCGTTGCCAGCCCGAACTCTGTAAAGCTGTAGTCACCGTGGGTCGGGATTGGAAGGCAGTGGCCCTATTAGTTCTCCGTCTGGGTGTTGGCAGTTTACTGTATCTTTTTCTTTATAGACCCCTTTCTCCTGTATGCGTCTTCCTATTTTCAAAATGCCCCTTCAGAAAACATCCCTGCTATTTAGCTGATACCTACAGCCCGAGTAGGGAAAAGTGTTCCTTCAATACAGCTAATGCGCTTCCCTATGAGAGATCACCGCGCTCATAGGGAAGCCTCCACAGCGCAGCCTGCCCGCCCAGTGGACACGTGGCACCGCACCCCGGATTCCTACCTCTGCAGGGTGCTGGCCTGGCTCCTGGCCCAGGTGGTGACAGTCAGGATGGCTGGCCCTTCCAGTGCTCGCGCAGCCTTGGCCAGGTCCTCGGGGCTCGCTGGTGCACTCCCCGCTCAGCCGGCTTTGGCAAGCCAGTGACCGGCTAGGTATCTGCGGCTGGAGGACCCGGCGATCCGGCCTCTCTCGAACATCGCCCGGCAAACGCAGTGCGGTGTCCACTCACACTACGTCCTTCCAGGGCCCTAGAGTTGGGAGTGGGCGGCCGGGAAGTCCTCTCTGGGTCTTTGAACTTTAGAGCCAAGGAAAAGTAGGCAGACTCGGGCCTTGAACCTTCCCGCCTCGGCAGGCTGTTCTCCACCCAAGCGCCCGCGCCTGCGCCCCACCCGACAGAGATGCTCAGGCCACGGACAAGTCTGTCTTTTGGTACCCGTGGGTCCTTAAGCAGCCAATAGCGGGTTCTCTGGGGTTCTCTACAGGACCCTGTTCTCCTGCAGTGATGGGCTAAAGGAGGACTTGGCTGGGCCACCCAGGGCGAGGCCAGATTCTTTGCTAAGTGTTAGGGACAGCTCTCTCCTCAAAGGGCTTACCTGCAGTGGCACAGCTAGGGGGACGAGCCTGCTGGGTGGAATCCCGAACCCTGGAAGCGTGATTCTCAGCCCGCACAGCAGCAAGCACACGGAGCATAGTTACAAGCTTGAACTAAGTCGCCCTTTTTCTGGGCCATTTAATTTTTCAAAGCCAAGGTGATCCGCACGTGAGTGTTTTTGGCCCTTCGCTGATTTGTGCATTTCCTAATTATACTCTTTATTGTAGATTCTAAAAAAGAAACTTGCGTTTGGAGAGATGGCTTAGAGGTTAAGGGCACCAGCTGCTCTTTCAGAGGTCCTGAGTTCAATTCCCCGCACCCACATGGTGGCTCACGGCCATCTATAATGAGATCTGGTGCCCTCTTCTAACTAACATGCAGGCAGAAAAAACGCTGCACAAATAATAATAAATAAATCTTCTTTAAAAAAGAAAAATGAAACTGAGGGGTCCATTCAAGGAGGAAGCTTAGGTTCAGAGACAACCTACTTCTGATCCCTAAGCTCAGACTCTGCAGGAACCTTATCTGACCAGCCAGTAAGAACCAATTCCTGCTCCCACTGCCTACTCACCTCCTAAGCCTGGTACGGTGTAAGTCACCGTGGAGTGTTTATACACAGATTTAGGGATTCAAGGAGGGTTGCAGCCAGAAGCCAGCAGGAAACTGCGATTTATCCCTCTCTCTAACTTAGAGGAAGAGAGAGAGAGAAAAAGAGAGAGAGAGAGAGAGAGAGAGAGAGAGAGAGAGAGAGAGAGAGAGAAACCCAGAGACAACTTACAGGACCTAAAGGCTATTGGGTGTGCAGTGTGTGTGTGTGTGTGTGTGTGTGTGTGTGTGTGTGTGTGTTGCACTGGTCAAAGGTTTTCCCTCTCTGATGTCCCTGGCTCTGGAACCCCAGTAATAACAGAAATCCTTTACCAAAGTAGTGGGATCTATTTATGTTTGGAGTATACAGGCTCCGAGAGTGGGGCCGGGGGCTGGAAGGGGCTGGTCCAGTCTAGCGTTAATGATCCTAAGACACGCGAAGTAAACCATGAGGAAGTCAGAACACAGGCTCAGCTGTGCTTCCTCTTTGAGGACTACCTTCCTCTTCTGGATCCTAAGAGGATGCAGATTCAAGGAAGACTGACGGGACAGGAGGAAGCGGCAGGGAAGGTGAGGGTCTGGTGCTAGGAACATCTGGAACCCACAACCCAGCAGGATGCTGGAGTGTGTGTGTGTGTGTGTGTGTGTGTGTGTGTGTGTGTGTGTGTGTGTGTGACCTCCAGTGGAGCAAGGGTTTCTCCTCCAGCACAGGCTGCATCCTGGGAGTGAGCAGGCTGAGCGCGGCTCATCTCTATCATCACCTAGTGACTGCAGAGGAATCCCGTTTCTTCCCAGACCTCGCTCTTCCATATTTCCAAGCCCTGCCCTAACTTCAGACTGTGCGGTGTCAAGGGCATCACCGCGTTCCAAGCCTCCTTGCCTACATCTTGAGCTGCAGTGAGAGCTGTGATAGCTGAGGAGAGGGAGGCTCCTATTGCAGCACTGTGCTTAAAGAGTACAGAAAGCAGAGACCGGTCCCAGTATTTCAGGATGAGCTGCCAGGTATCTTGCCTAAGCACAGGTAAGCCAAGAGCCCCCGCCCCTTTTTCCCTCATAGCCAAAACCAAGGTCACAGCTTGACTCCACCAGGGCTACCTGCATGGCTGTGGAGCACCCAAGGAGTGGATGAGCCTATTTATAGAATTCTCCTTGCCCACGAAGGTCTTGCGGTAATATCTGCCTCAGAGATATGCCAGCTTGACTCTGCCTCAGAGATATGCCAGTTTGACTCTCCCTTACACGGAAAGAGAGACAAAAAAAGTCTTCACACCGAATAACCTTATGATATTGGAAAGTACCTAAGTCTCTGGTGGCACAGATGGGGGGGTGTGATCACCTCCATTTGAGGGGTGCAGGAAAAAGTTTGGTCTTCAAGCGGGAATTTACCAGAAAGATGAGGATAGATGTCCCAGAGAAGGGAATGACATTGCTATGCACGGGCTTTGTGGGTGAGAGGTCACCGCTGCTGGGGTGGTTTCTTTTAAAAATTTCCTAGCCAGGCATCGACTGAAATGTGTCTTTCTGACTCTTAAGGGACTTCAGTTCTCAGTATTTTGCTGTATTTACACTTTAAATTCTACCCTCTGTTTAAAAACAAAACCAAAGAAACCACATTTATTCGGTCGTTGTCACGCCCCCACCATCTCACTCGACATACTCGGAAATGGATTCAGGAATCCATGGACGGTAGTTTCCTACTGTCTCTCTTCCCAGCATCTAGAACAGTGCGAATAAATAGGTTCTAGGTGTATATAGTCGAATGTACGAGTGAATGAATGAATGAATGAATGAACGAACGAATGAATTAACGAATGAATGAGTCTTTTCCAGCTGCTAAGAAAATGAGACTTCCTCCTCCAGCCTTCAGCTTAAGAAACTCAGGCTAAAGAAGCCCAGGACGGGGAGCTTGGTAAGAAGGCGGCGGCTTGTGGGGTGGCGGGAGGAGGGATTCCAGCTCACTGCAATTTAATATTAAATGAGTTGGGGGTCCAGGAGTCTCGTGCACTGACTCAGTTCCAGCTCAGGGGTCGTTCAGTTATCCGAGAGCAAAGAGGAGCAGGTCTCCCTCCTCCCTCCAAGCCCTTCTAGAGGCCTGGCCCTTTGGGGATGGGTCCCAGTGCGTCCTGGGCGGTCAGAGGGTTTGGGGGCCGCTATCTTGCCTGCCTCCCAGCCTTCCTTCCTCCCTTTTCCTCCTCTCTTTTTCCCCTCCGGCCCTTCGGGTCTCCCTAGCTCCCCAGACTAGCGGCCTCGCAGCAACCTAACCGCCCCCACCCCCTCCAGCAAGGGCGAAATTGCTAAACTTGTAGCAATAATGACCCTGCATTCAGGCGGCCGACTCCCGCTGAACCTCTCCGCGCCCCGGCCCGCCCGGCCTAATCAGAGCGCCCCTCCCTGCTGCCCGCCCAGCCCCCGGCCCCCCGGCCGCCCCTTCCCCCACACACAAAAAAACGGGGAACAAAACCCCCCGCGCATTTCTCCGTCCCTCTGTTGAGCAGACTGCTGCACAAAGCCCCCGCTCTGAGAAGCAATGGGGAGCTCGGGGGGGACGTCAATCCGACGCGCTGGGGTTTTTGTTCGCACAGGGGACCTCGCCTTCCTACCACACCTTTTGTTCGGGACTCCAATAAAAAGCCATTCTTTCCGCACCTTCCCGGCCCGGAGCCGCCTTTCAGCCAGGCCCGGCCCCACAATGGCGCGGCGCTCAGAGGCCTCCCCATTCACCCGCCTTGGCACGCTCACAATCGGCCGTGTGGCAGCACAGGCCTCGCACAGGCATTCTCCGCGAGTGACAAGGAGCCGCATAAAGCCGCGGCCGCCGGGGGAGAAGGGAGGGCGGCCGAGGGGGAGAGCTCGGCCGCGGCGGGGCGCAGCGCAGCGCCCCCGGGCGCGCTGGAAGGCCCGGTGGTGGCCGAGGAAGGAGCCGCCCAAGGCTGAGCCTGCAGGCGGGCTTTTCGTCTTCCTCGGAGACCCTCGCGGTGGGGCAGCGTCTCAGCTTGCCCGTGGCAGGTCCCCGCACCAAGTCAGTGCATCTGGGTAAAATGTAGCGGTGGGTGGGGTGGGGGGTGGGGATTACAAAGTCCTGGACCTCCGAGGACCCAGCCTCCCTCCAGCCTGTTCGGCCCACAACACTAAAGAGAAATTAATGAACAAAGCGGCCAAGAGACCAAACTTGCAGCCTGGGGCCTGGCGCTGGGGCACCAGGCTGAGATGCCCAGGGTGCTTTTCCTCTCTTTCCGCCCTGTTTAAGGGAGTCCCCTCCCCAGTTTTGGGGGCTAAACCAGTCTGCAGCAAGCCAAACAGTTCAGAAATATTGCACCTTCTTTATTGACTCCTGTAGTGTATGACAGCGGTGTGTACACGGCGTGTGGGTATAGTTATATAGAGAGATAATGTGCTGAATACAGAATATAAAACAGAAAGGAAACCAACCTGGGACACCTAAGCCGGGCCGCCAGGTCTTGGATTTGCTCAGCTGCCTCCCTTCCCCCAGCTTTCGATCTCACTGGGATGGTGGTGTCCAAGAAGAGTCCCCTGACAATCCAGATCTCCTGGCGGAGTCTGGCTCCGAAGAGAGGCAGTGGGTAAACGAAAATCCACTGTGCTGTGGCGCTCCAGGCTAGAAAACGGGGCTGCGGATCGGTGGAATTACTCAAGCCTATTTTTCTCTCCTTCACGCTCTCTCCCCAGCTATTTTTCTTTTCTTTTCTTCTTTCTTTCTTCTCTTTTTTCCCCCTGTTTGGTCCGGTTCCCCGACCATACTTCGCGAAGACCAAGGGAAGGCCGAAGGAGAAAAGCCCTCCTCCTGAGAGCAAGCGACAGCCGGAGTCCCAGCCTCCCGCACTCCCCGCAGAGCCAGGGTGGGGGCCAACCTCTTCCCTGGCACCTGGCCCGCGTTTCTGTCTCAGACAGTCTTGACGACTGGACCAGGGCATCCGTTTCTCCGCTGAGCCCCAGGCCTACAGTGCCCGGCGACCCTGGCCCCTTGGGGAGCGTTACGTCTGTATTTTATTTTAACGAGGGGACCTGGCCCTTGGGTCTGGCCTTTCTCGTGTCTCATTCCCGCGGCGCCAACCTGCGGTAGGACGCCCGCTGCATGTCCTGCCCGGTCCTTACCAAGCCCTGATGCCCTGCAAGGTCCCCTGTGCACACGCGGCCCCCGCTGCGGCACCCTGGTGCAAGGGTTGAGCGCCGCCGCTGCTGCCAAAGCCTCCCAGGTTGCTCACGTTCACAAAGGATCCGCCGCCGGTGGCGCTGCAGGCGGGCTGCATGGCGGTGGTCGCTGCGGAGGCCCCGCCGCCGCCGCCGCCGCCTGTCGGGTAGGCGCAGCCGTAGCTCCCGCTGTAGGCCGCGGCCGCGGCTGCGGCTGCAGCAGCCGCTGCGGCGGCGGCGGCCGAGTTCCCGTAGCCGTAGGCGGGGAAGCTGTTGTAGGAATAGGCGCCGGCGCCCACGCTGTAGGGCGAGCCATAGGCCTGCGCGCTGGGCGTGACGCACGGCTTGCCGTCCCGCACCAGCACCGGCACCGCCACGCGGCGAGGTGGCGGCGGCGGCGCGTGCGTCCCCAGCTCCAGGGACTTGTCCTGCCGCTGTCTCTTGCACTTGTACCTGCGATTCTGGAACCAGATTTTCACCTGCGTGGACGTGAGCTTCAGGCTGCTGGCGAGGTGCTCGCGCTCGGGCGCCGACAGGTACCGCTGCTGCTTGAACCTGCGCTCCAGCTCGAAGACTTGAGCTTGCGAGAAGAGCACCCGCGGCTTCCGGCGGCTGCGCGGCTTCGGCCTCTCGCCGTCCTCGCTCGCCTTACAGTCTCCCGTCCCTTCTAGAGACTTCTTCAGCTGGCAGCTTTCTGCAGGGGGGAAGCAAGACATCAGCCGGGTTCTGGCTCCCTGTAGAGCTGGCCAACGCCCGGAAGCACAGAGCGCCCCGTAAAAATGCTTAGATTTGGGGAAAGTTCATGATTCCTGGTGCTCAAGGGCCCTGCGTCGGGGCCGAGCTCCTCTCCGGGAGGAGGCATGTTCGGCGGGGAGTAGTTAGCTTGCATTTATTAAAACTTGAGTGTCTGCGAGTCAAGAGATTAAGTGTGCGGCTCGACGCCCTAATGACTATTTTCAAGATGAAAGCTTGTGTCTGCGTTAGCAACGACAATATTTGCAAACTCGTTTGCCTACCACTCACCACGCACATCTGAAGGTGTGAAACGTGTGGGTATTGGGGACCCACAGCCGGGATGCATGGGCTGATTGCAAAGATTTTTTCTGTTCGGAAATATCTAAGTGTAGGCGTATGCGCAACTCAAGAATTGATTTTTTTTCTTATCAAAACTACTGAGAATGTGTGTGAAACAAAATTTGTACATTACCTTACAGAGGAAAAAAGTTGGATGGACCTATTTAGACAGTTTCGTGTCCGTTTTAGGCCTGGCGAACTGTCAGAGAAAAGGCCTTGGTTTCAGCCACATTAAACCTCCACTTGGAGAAGAGATTCTTTGATTCTGTCTTCCTTTCAGACATTTCCTGGGGGCTTATTCAATTATTAGATTTTCCTACCACCTCAGGTCTGCTGAGCGTCCAGAATCCCCGGCTAAATTCTGCACTTTACCTACTCAGACTTGCAGCCCGAGACACAAAGCGAACACTAGGATTCTTACTCTTATTATTCTTTTATTTTAAGGGCTTCACCTCAAGGGCATGAGTGGTGAGGGTCACCTGGGCTGGATCGAACGCCTACACACACACCATCGCCTCTCCTTCGCGGAGTGCTGTAGGTGTGAGAACGCTGAGCTCCAAGCTCACAAGTAAGGTGACGCCTATCAAGGTTCCTTGTCTTGGAGGACTCTTAAAAACGCGACCTGCTTGAACTGCCTTTCTGGGAAGCCGGGGTAACTGCCCTGGCTTCACCCTGAACTCAATTCACATTAGAAGAAAGGCAAAAAAAAATGGCCAGACTACTGACTCCTTTTTCAAGAACACACACACACACACACACACACACACACACACACACACACACACACACACACACGAAGATGTTAGGACCTAACCGCTGGGCCCATCCCTTATCGCTTATCCAAACCGGGGCTGCAGTAATCCCTTTCCCTTCCCTCCTTCCCTCAGGGGCTGCTCCCCGCTCCCTGCTCCGGGGAAGGGCGGTTGTCACAATCTCCTCCTGTCCCCCTTACCCCTCCCTAGCTGCATCTCAGGTGCCCGTGCTTTGCAGAGCTGTCTTTGAACCTGGCATAGGCATGACCCTCGCCAAACGCGAAAGGGGCGGGTGGTCATGCTGGCCCCGTTTGTGGGTTGTTTATGGGCGCTGAGCCGTTGCCCCAGGTGTAGGGGCGCGCTGCCTTCCCCCTACTCACTTTGACTCCGTTCTCTCACAACCTCCTCTTCTTGGTCCTTGGGCCTGCTGCAGGAGTCTCGAAGGACTGTGTGGACATAGCTCTGCGGACAGAGACCTGAATCTCCGTGGCCCTCGGCAGCAGCTAGTGAGTTCAAATAGGACAGTTTCTCTCCTTCTTCTTCCTCGTCCTCCTCCCCCGCGTCGGAAAACTGCGTCCCTTCGGCCGCCGCCAGCATGCAGGGAGCCGATTGAAAGTGCTGCTCCAACTCCGCCTGCAAGTGAGCTCCGTGGAAGTGCTGCTGCTGCTCCAGATTCAAAATGTCTTTGACTGAGAAAGGGGTGGAGGTGACCGGGCTTGGTAACATCATCAGGGCCACTTAATTGTCCAGTCCAAATACTCAATAAATCCCGGCGGGGGCGGGGAGGCAGTGCGGCGGCTCCAGCTCTTCCTCTGGACTCCGCGGTGCTGCGGAGTCGAGCTTTTGACAGACGCGGTCCTTCTCCAGTCTAAATCGCCTCCATTGGCCGGGACCTGGGGGTCTGGGTTTTGTTACAGCCACTGCAAGGACTGGGGCCGGGGCTGTGAAGCCTCTGTCCCGGGGCCTTGCGTCACGTCGAGGGGCGGGGTCGGCATCCTGGCCTCCTTCCTAATTGGTTCTGGCGTGGGTGGGCCACGCCCTCCGCGTCCACCCCTGGGGGATGTTGCTGCGCTACCAGAAATAGCCAGGGACTAGAATGGGTCTTGAGGTCCAAGTCGCTGTGGGAGAGGCTGCATTGGACCGGGTGTCCGAATCACCGATTCCCGCCCCACCTAGCCGCACCCGCCCGACCAGGGCCAGTTCTGAGAGGCTCACTGTCCATGAGCCAACAAGGTCCTAGAAGGATGACACAGATTCCAGCTGCTTCGGGGCAGGAAAAGTTCCTGGCCAGTAAATACCGGACGACGGATTCCTCAGGAGACGACTGCTGTGTCTGTGGGAATATGAGCGACGTGTCAAATTCCACCTTGTCCTTGCTCTAGCTGTTCTCACCACGTGGAGTGCCTTTTCCGCCCTCATTTCCACGAGTGCACGGCTGTTCTCCGGGAGGCTCTGCTCAAACACCACGTCCTCCAAGCAAGCGCGGCCAGATCGCCTAGCCCGGAAGTGCTCTTCCTCAGAACTTGCTCCGTTAGTAATGACACTTGTCACCCTCCCCACCTAGTGCTATGGCTGTATGTGTCCTCCCGATTGTCAAGTTAGACTGTGAGTCCCTGAGGGCAGGGTCCAGGTCGTATTTGCCCTTGCGGCCCTTGCAGACAAGATGATGGAGTTCTCCCTTGTGTCCAGCGGCTCTTGCTTCGAATCTTGGCCTGAGCCAATATTTGGTCTCCTCGGTTTCCTCGTCTACATAAAGGCACCGAATTCCCTCTGCTAGGGTAATTGCTGTAGATAATCAGGCTAACCAGCCGGAAGCATAGTGCAGGTCTAGGGATGCTAAGGGCCCAGAACGTGTGACGGTCGTTTTTCTGCGTCAGAGTTCAGAACAGTGCTTGCTGAGTCCGCGTTGATTCTGACCTGGCTGGAGTACCACCGCACACACTGGGTGGCTTTATGAGAGCAGGGATGGGGAGAGCAGGGTCTGGTCTCAGAAGGGACGTAACCCAGCTGTGGCCTGAGCCTGAGTATAGGCCTCAACGTTCAGACCCGCCTTGTTTCTTGACCTGCTGGCTTTCTGGCCCTCTTTCTGAGATGGTGGTTGCATTCTGCGGGGAGAATCTATGTAGTCTCAGAGACTCTGAAAACTGCCGGGTGGGGACCACCTTCTGGCATTCACCTGCCTATAAGCTTAGCCCTCTGAATAGCAGCGGCCACCGTTGTGAGGATAACAGCAAAACGCGTGGGCAGCACGCCTCGGAAATAACAAACAAGGAGCGGCTCTGGTTTCGCGGTGGGGTTCCTCACCAGACCGCCCCTGGCATTTATTTGTTCCCCCACCCCCGCCCCCCGCCCCAGTAGAGCCGCACAGTTGGAGAGTCTGGCCAACTGGAAAGGACGGCTGGAAGGCACGGGGACTGAGGATGACGCCCTAGGAAACGGGTAGACGCGGCACGTAGAGGGATTATATGGAGAGCGGCCTTGCGGAACCCCGGGACAGCAGAAGGAGTTGGTGCCCAAGGCCCTGGAAAGAAAGGGCTGGGAGGAGGGGGAGGCGGGGCTCTTGGGGGGGGAGAGCGGAAATGCAGCGGGGAGGCTGCGCCCGGGGCCACCGGGGGAGCTGGGACCGTGCTCCCTCCACGTGCCCTGGGGGAGATGGGGAAAAATCATCTGTGGGTTGCAGGCTCTCTCTCCTCGAGACCGTTCCTCCGTCGCAGGAGCCTTTCCGCTTTAGACTTGAGACTGTTGACGCCTCGGGCGGGGGCCGCGGCGGCTACGGAAGGCGAGTCTGCCCGGGGAAGAGTGCGCCTGGTCTTGCTGCGGATCCGGAGCGCAGAGGTCCCGAGCGAGGTGGGGTGAGTGCGAGGCCCTGCAGGGTCGGGGGCTGTGAGTGGACGTGCGCGTCCCAGTGGACAGGCAGAGGACCCGAAGGAAACGGCATTACCGTCTCAGTCCCCACCCTGCCGCCAACCGCAGGGCAAAACTGTCGCGGAGAAATGCTTCTGTCCTCTTCTGCTCTCATCCCCTCTCCCAGTCCTTTTTTTTTTTTTTTTTTTAGCTTTCAAGATTTGGACAAAAGAAAAGATAAAAGCTATTTGCTTCCATCGGAAGCGCGTATTTCTTCTTGCTCTTTTTTTTTTTTCTTCCTAGCGGCGCTTGGCCCTCACCTAAACCTTGCCCCAGAAACGGGTCTTAGAACCATAGCTGAGTGAAGGCCCCCCAATCCAACAACGCCTGCAGCTCAGTGACACACCCACACACCTGCTGCGGGCGGGAAGGCCCACTCAGGCCTCTTCTCCCTGCCGCGCAGATAGCTGTCTGCTCCCCACCTGCACGAATGAGCACGTGGCGGGGTCTCCAAATCCCGCTGCCTCCACCACTCGGTCAGGTACCCTCCAAACACACCTGGACGGCTCTCTTGAGGACCCCAGCCAAGTTGCTCCACAGCAGGCTGGGGCAGGGTTCCGTTTGGGGGGACTCTGTGGGGAGCCTGGTGAACGTGCCAGCACCTGGCATCTATGGCCTAACCTGCTCTCGCATCCCTATCCCCGCACCCCGCGGATCCAGAGACTTCCACCCACCCCTTGATTTTTAGGGTTGGCCTTTGATTTTTGCCCAGAGCAGGGGTTCTGTGGTCATCTCCAACTTCCCTTTCCAAATTGTTTAATCTTGGCTTATACTGGTTTCGAAGTAGCAGGATCCCACTCAGGCCAGTCGCATCCAGGTGGCCTCCTTTTCCCGCGCCGGCAGCGGGCACCCGAAAAGACTACCGGTCTGTGGGCCGCCAGATGTAGGGCAGGAAAACCCCGGGTGCTGGAGCCCCCCTCCCCTCCCCGCTGCTGCTTGTCGGGGCACAGAATCTGGTTCCATTCGGTATCCAGTTACCAGTACATTCAGGGGCATTTGCATTCTCTTGTTTGAAAAGATCTTAGAAATCTTGGATCCTTGCTCAATTAACAATAGGTTTTCGTATCAGACAGTTTAGCCAATTACTGTCAGGTAAAGTAAATAGGACTGTGCAGCTTGGCTTTGTTTTAGTCCGCACTGTCTGCCTAGGTTCACCTCCATCACCTTGTACCTATCACAAGCCCCTCCCATCGATATTTGATTACAGACCTTGCTGAAGTGGTGGCAGATTCCCTGGGGGAGGGGAGGTCGCTTTATAGACGTGCATATATAATAAATAAAATTATAGCGGTCAAAGAGCCTTGCGTTAACCATTACAGCAGTTGCATTACCGAGGGAAAACGTGGTAATTTTTGAAAGCTTTGTTTGTGTTATACTCTAAAAAACTACTCACTTCCTACACATATAAAATAGGCAGATAGTCAATAGTTTTTGTTCCCTCTGACACCATTTGTCTAGAATAAAGCTATTCAGTTATGGAACCAGGGTCTCGTTGCCCCGTTTTTTAAATTTCAACCTAGCACTACAGTGATTTTTCTATTCAACTATGAAAAAATAATGTTGCTGTAAACTCAGCTGGCCTGATGTATGAAATTTTAGGTGGGTTTTTTTTTTTGTCATTTTGACTGCTGTCCTAGAAATTTCAATTTAATGATTCATACACACAAAGAAAGAAAGGAAACGAGAAAGGGCTTCATTTTTAGCAGTGCCACGAGGTGGAATTTTGTTGGTGGCAGTAATGGTGTGTACTATATCTGGTTTTGATCTTTAGTTTAGCGGTGTTAGAAAGCCGTCCCCAAATTCCTGAGCAGACTAGTGTTAACTGCATTTTAATGATAAGAAGGGTGAATGCATTACCTGATTTGAGTTATGAATCTGGTCTTTAACGGCTGAGCGTTTGTATAATTTTAAGGAAATGCCAACCTTGTTGCTTAGTTCTAGAAAGCGTCACACTTATCTAATGTCTTGAGTGTGTGTGTTTCCGTGGTGAACTAATGTTGTGAGGGGGTTTTTGAAGTGGGCTGTGAGCACATACTTTGTTTTGCACATGTGGGCAATTTTTCTAGATTTTGTTTGGAATTAATTTTCTAAACAGCTCATCATTTCTCTTCCCCGAGAGAAAAATCATTCCAAATCCAGCAAATTGTGTGGTCTGTGGTATAAATTACAGGCCATCTCTGAGAGTTTCGATTTCTCAGGGTGAAGAGTTTTCACTCGTATCTTCTCAGATCTGACCCACTCCAACACTTTTAAAGATAAAAATGTAAATTGAGATCTCCTCACCAAAGCCAGTTCCTTTAAAGCCAACACCACACTGAAGTCTGAGGACTAGCTTTGTGCAAAGACACTCAGTATTTCTTCAAACGAAAATGTCTAAACCAACGGGTGCTTTACGCATTGATTTGTATTGATGTGTGTGCTATTTGAAAATGCAGTGAGCAGTTTGAACTAGAGGATTTAACTGGAATTCGGAATGCATTCCGTAGGGTTTTTTTTTTTTTTAAACTTCCTGTGGCTAAATTTCAACGTCTACAGACCTTCTAAAATATAACCTAACTTCAGAAAGGCTCTTTAAGTCTCTGGCGAACTAATTCGCTCAAACTAGAGCGACTCTCTTGCCGGTTCTCGCGGTTCGCTGAGCAGACAAGAAGGAAGA